CCACCCATAGAAATCTCTCTGATGAGTCCGTACGAACTCAGGGGGCTCAGAGGTTCACACACGCTTTTACTGTCTGATTGCTATGCTTTACCAAACAGTCTGCTGACATAATAATGCAGGCAAATGGTAGACTCTGTGCTTGGGTGCTTCTTAAAGATTTCTTTATTTTTATGTGTAAGAGTATTTTTGCCTGCATGTCTGTCTTGTACTACACACAGGGCTGATGCCTGAGAAAACCAGAAGAGGGCATGTAATGCTCAGACATTGTAATCACCCATTCGGGTGCTAGAAAGATCCCTGGAACCCACACAAAGAGCCAGATGCATAAGAAGCAACTATAATCCCAAGCACTCTCGTAGTGAGATGGGAGATGTCTCATCTGGAAGGTTGGGCCAGCCAGACTGGCATTTGCAGCACAATAGTGAAATCAAGAGACCCTGACTAAAAATAATGGGGAAGGTGAGAACCAACTCTTGAAGGTTGTTTTCTGACCTCCACACACACCCCACAGCAATCTGAACCTGCACACACACACTCAAAATGTTACTTATGAAGACTTTCTCAGTGAACAATCACTCTGTGATCTCTTGAACAAATGATAACACAAGTTGCATATAAAATACAATGTCTTCATAGCTCACTGCACACACACAAACACTCCTAACTGACCAAAGGGAGCCAGCCCAGGGTTAGGCTGGCTTATCCTCTGGGAGAACTGAGCACTTTCTTTCTTTCTTTCTTTCTTTCTTTCTTTCTTTCTTTCTTTCTTCCTTCCTTCCTTCCTTCCTTCCTTCCTTCCTTCCTTTCCTTCTCCTTCTCCTTCTCCTTCTCCTTCTTTTGGTTTTTTGAGACAGGGTTTCTCTGTGTAGTCCTGGCTGTCCTGGAACTTACAATGTAGACCAGGCTGGCCTCAAACTCACAGAGATTCACCTGCTTCAGCTTCCTGGGTCCTTCCCAACAAAAAGCAAGTGGGTACTAAGTATGAGTAGTAGGTACTTCAAAAAATCAGTATCCACATGAAAACCAAGAGCAATCTGAATATTGCTCTCATCTGTAAAAAAAAAAAAAGACAACCCAGGCTGGGCTGTTCCTTCCCAACAAAAAGCAAGTGGGTACTAAGTATGAGTAGTAGGTACTTCAAAAAATCAGTATCCACATGAAAACCAAGAGCAATCTGAATATTGCTCTCATCTGTAAAAAAAAAAAAAGACAACCCAGGCTGGTCTGTAGTGGCACACACCTTTAATTCCAGCACTTGGGAGGCAGAGGCAGGCAGATTTCTGTAGTTTGAGCCCAGCCTGGTCTACAAGAGCTAGTTCCAGGACAGCCTCCAAAGCCACAGAGAAATCCTGTCTCGAAAAAAAAAAAAGAAAAAAAAAACAAAACAAAACAAAACAAACAAAAAAAGACAGCCCAAAGTCCAGAGGAAGGTGGGAGTCTCTGCTGGCACTGACCTGTCAGCAATGCTGGATGGCTTGTCACCAATGGGCACCAACATTCCACCCCAGAGAGATGTGGAGAATACCTGTGTGAAGGCAACAGTGTTTCTTTCTGTCCCCATGAGCACCAGCAGGAAGCTGGCTCTTCTCTGAATTGGCATGCAGAGCAGAGCAAAGCAGAGTAGAGCAGAGCAGAGCAGAGCAACAGCAGGGACATGGGGACCAGGGGCTGTGAGGTTGAAGAACTCAGTCAGAGGCAAATTTAAATTCCAACAGAGTCACACAGAAGTGCAGCAGGGCTTAGCTTGTGATCCAGCCAGGACAGGACCCTCTTGCACAGGAAGTAATACCCATGGAACAACATGATAGAGAAGGGTAGCCAGGACCCTAGATATGAGACCCTGTGTCTGTTCAAACCCCAAAATGTGAGGAGACTGAGGTATGCAGCTCCTCAGGCTAAAGGTCTATACAGGCTATGGTGCTCCTACAGTCATACAGTGTAAAGACGTGTGTCTAGCTCTCCCTCAGGGGCAGCACCGGATATCCAGTAAGGAGGTTCAGTGACACACTCTTTAAATCATGTAGGTCATCCCCAGTCCTACTGAGTACCACTGCTGAGCTGGAGGCCTCTCACTCAGCAGCCCCAGGTTCTCATGGTGTTGGACTGGCCAGAGCCTCTGCTCATCTTGGTCCTTTGTCTACCCCTGCCAACTCCACACTGCCCATATGGTCTTTTTCTAGATGCTTCAGGAGCAAGGACTAGAGATACAGAGTGGAAGAGTGGGCAGAGCCACACAGCACACAAGACAGCACCCACAGGGCATAATAAGACAAAATCTCCCAACTTCACCACTGTCTGATGGCACACTCATGTGCCCATCTGTTGGTATGGCATTCTAGAAGCCACAAGCTACACTACACCTGGTTAAAAATCACCTTTGCAGCAGACTTTGGAAGGCCAAGGCTCTAGTCTGATGAAGGCTGGCCAGGCTGAGATAGCTATTCAGGTTACCACACCGGAGACATTTTCAACTTAACAGTAGGTTTGCTGGGAAATGATGCCGTGAGGAAGTAAGCCAAGAAGCACCCATACTCTACTCTGACATTTCCAATTAGTGGGAGCCACACAGTGACAACAGTGCTGGCTGCATGGGGCTCAGGCTCTGACCTGCTTCCACTCCTGGTCCTTCTCTGGGCTAAGGCCTGCCTCTGCTGCCTGGAGACCTCCAGGGCCTCAGCAGACTCCCAGACCTGCCCAGCCCATATGTACATACCACCACCTCTGGCCTGGAAGGCAGCTCACTGGGCTCCTGAGAAGAGCAGACCCCTCTTTACTTCTTTCTAGCCCTGCACTGGCTCCCACTCAGATGTCCATACTTCACATTCCCAGCAGCAGACAAGGTCCCAGTTCCTTCCTGCCAAAGCCAAACATCCTGGGCCCTCTACCCTCCTCCTGTCAACCCATCTGTTCATCTACTCATCCTCTACCACTCACCTATCTGTCTATATCCTGTCCTACCCACCCATTTGTGTGCCCACCTATCTATCTGTCCACCCACCCACCCATGTACCCACCCATGCACTCATCCTGTCCACCTGTCCACTCTCCCACCACACACATGTAGATGCCTCAAAGAGCCACTCTGTTTTCTCCTCGGTCTCCTAAAATAAGCACTTTATTTTGAGGTGACTTTAGGTTCAGAGGTACAGTCCAGGGCTCTTCTTCAGTCAGTCTCACCACAAAGCCAAGGGTCCACCCTGATCCTTAGAGGTACAGTCCAGGGCTCTTCTTCAGTCAGTCTCACCACAAAGCCAAGGGTCCACCCTGATCAGCAATGCTGATCACCTCCAACTTGCTGAACTCTGACCTTACAGACACTAGCTCTCCACTGATGCTCCTCCTCCTCCAGGAGTCAGGGTGGCACCTGCACTAAGCCATTCCCTCCACTAGCACTGGCCCTATCCTGCCCTCTACTCCCTCCCTCCCCCAATTCTGCCCATCTCAGCCACCAATACTTCCTGTTCTCTTTAGGTTCTACCCTCATACTCCCACCTCTTGATACACACACCTGAAGTGCCTGGCAGCCAGGATGCAGGTGTGTGGTGGGGGAGTGGACAGGCGGATAGGATGAGTGTGTGCATTGATGGATTGGTAGGTCAGTGGGTGGGCACACAAATGGGTGGGTAAGAGAAGGTATAGATAGATAGGTGAGTGGAAGAAGGATGAGTAGATGGAGATGGGTGGACAGATAAGTAGACAGATGAGTGGGTAGGTGGTAAATGGGTGGGCAATAGATGGGTGCTTCTACCAAAATAAGCACAGTGGAGCCCTCCACTCCTCAATCTATAGGCAAGAAGATAAGAGATGGTATCTGGAGACATGCCTGTGCCAAACTCCTAAAAGCCTGTAGCAGGAGGCCATGTGGACAGGTGACAAATGGACATTACAGCAACAGAAGGCAGATGAAGGACAAGTGCCTGTGAAGGAAGAGCCTCATCCCTCAGAAAGTGTCCTGTGAAGCCAGCATGAGCAGAGGAGAGCAGCAATGAAAATCAGGGCACTCCAGGCACCACTCTAGAGCATAAACTCACAAGAAAGCCGAGGCAAGGTATGCAGCTAGGGGAGCTCAGCGGGGGGATAGGAGGGAAGGGGGCGCAGGGAACTCAGAGCATGCTCCACACTGAAGGCACAGGCAGCTGAGTCTGAGCAGCGCCAGGCAGAGAGAAAAGGCATGATAGAGTTCTGAGATGGCTCTAAGAGTGAGGACCAGCACAGCTGGCAGGTCACACACATAATATATATATGTCCTGTGGGCTAAAGTATCATAGCACTGGCCACTCAGGACCCCAAGGTGAAGGCTGACCCCACAGGCACAGTGCAGGTTGGAGACTCACCGAATCCAACATGAGTGGCTTATTCAGCTGAAGCTCAAAGTCTTCCTTGATGAAGCTCACATCACCTCCAGTATAGCCCGCCAGCTCCTGAGGAAGAAGCCACAGGTCACAGAGACACAGGGGCTACTAAGCACTCACTGCCTTTGCACTGACAGTTTTGCTGTTTGTGCCTCCCAGAAGACCCTGCTTGCTCAGCACCTTGAAAGAATGAGCCACTTCATGGCAGGAACATTTTACATACAGACCTCACCATTCATTGCTCCTCTGAAAATGAAGATTGGGCACCCCAGGGTCCTGTCTGCACCATGAGCAGCAGGATGAGATGGGCTGGATCACCACAGTCTACAGTGTGTCACCCAGTCCTCCTGTACCTTCAGGGCAGCTGACCACACTTTAACAGCACTCACCACTACTCCCCATGGGCACCAGTCCCGGCACTGTGCGTGACAGACCTGTGCACACTTCCTTGGCTCCCCAAGCAGAGGAAAACCAAGTGAGAACACTACCTGGTTGACTTTGAGCAAGGCCCCTCTTCTTGGTAAGATAGATGAATTCCGAGAGTCGATGACCATGGCATGCTGAAAGAAATGAAAGGAGCCCACTTTCACTTCAAGCAGCTCCAAGGATAATAAACCTCGCTGTGCATTGAGGGCTAAGGCTGTGCTGTGCATGCCCACAGCACTTCCCCTGTTCCTGCCTTCCCAGGATGGCACAAAGTTCTAAGATGGCGTACCCACCAGAGAGTTTCCCACTGACACCTACCAGCCTTGTTCCCTCAGAGAGCCCAGCACCCACCCTAAGTCAGCTCACTGCATTTCTTTTAATTTCTGGAAGGTAAGATTCTACAGCCAGCTCTTTTTTTTTTTTTTTTTTAAGATTTACTTATTATGTACATATTGTTCTGTCTGCATGACAGAAGAGGGCACCAGGTCTCATTACAGATGATCATGAGCCACCATGTGGTTGCTGAGAATTGAACTCAGGACGTCTGGAAGAACAGTCAGTGCTCCTAACCTCTGAGCCATCTCTCCAGCCCCCACAGCCAGCTCTTAAACATGTTTATGCTTCCACTGATGTTACAAAAAATAATATGAGGCAAGGAACTGGAGGCCACTGTCCCAACCACCCAATCTCAGTGACACCTTAGCCCCATACCAGCAGAGACTAACCAACCAATGGGCCACAGGCTGTCAACACATTTCTCCAGCCAGACAGCAAGTCCTACCGAGAGAGACGACTTCAGTGAGTGTCCGCTTTCCTTCCGCACAGCAAATGATGCAGTCCTCGAGAGGCAGCCCAGTTCCCGCCACACACCCTCCCATTTGACGGTGTGACTGGTCTTCCATATGGGAAACTGTAAAGGCACAGAAGGAAGCCTTTTTCTGCACTGTTCACATTGGAACAAGCTGCTGCAAAGCATCCTTTGAAATGAGGTACCACTGACTAACATACTTGGCAAATTCTTTTCTCAGCACCAGGGATGGGATGGATCAGGACCTTGCTGGCACTTGATCCTCCCCCAGCCCCAGCCCCCAGATAAACTGTTTGAAATGAAAGGAAATAGGGGAGGAGGAGGAACAGAAGAGGACACAGCAAGAATGATGGGGAGAGCTGTAAACTAAACCAAGCAGTACTACTCTGAGCTGCAGGTGAAGGAACAGGGCCATACCCAAAAGCTAGGGGTGACGCTGTCAACAGCAGGTACCTGTCTCATCACAGTAAAACACACAGATGATGTGACATATCCCATTCAGTCCACTTGACTGGCTGAAGGCAGATCCAGTAACCTGTCACCTGGATGTCATCAGTCCCAGAAGAACAAGGAGACTAAGCCATATGGGGCCAAGGGCTTTCTTCCCATAGCCAGAGGGACCAAGCAAAGCCAGGTCCAGGGTCTGCCTCTCAGCAGGTCTATCCCACAGCCTGCCCCATACTCTAGCTCAGAAAAGCCCCATTCTCTCTAAATGTCATGATGTCAGGGAACTTGGGGAAGTAGCCGTGACTTCACTCACAAGGACACCAGGTGCCAAGTTTCCCACAGAGCATCCCAGCAAGCTCTGCAGCCTGCAGGCCAGAAGGAAAACACAAGGCTACTGAGGCACCAACTGAAGCCCAGTACACAAACTTGGTGTGTAAGAATGTGGACCAAAACTGCCCACCTCAGCACACAGGGGCACTGTGCAAGCCTGAGGAGTCCACTGAGACTCTGGCAGCAGGGGTAGTAGCAGCCAGGCTCAGTGGTCACTCTACATGAGGGTCCCAAGACTCTGTTTTCCCCAGATGCCTGCCAGAAGTAAAGCTTCCTAGTCAATTCTTCTGTCCTAGAACACAGGACTGGTCTTAGTGAGAAAGCCACTTATTCAGGGAGATACACTGCTGTTTCCACAGTAACCATCAGGAGTCACAGAGCCAGACAGTGTACCCACAATGCCCAGTTACACTTAGGGTGGTCTGAGACACGGCCAGTTCTACCGGGCCTTGTCCTTCAACCTGATACAACCTCATGCAATCCTACCTACACTCCATCCCCCTTTGCATCTATTGTTGCATGTGAAAAGTAACCCTGATTCTTTCAGGGTGTGTTCTTTAAAAAGCTTAGGGTACCAAGGAGAAAGATGGGAAGCACTGGGTGCTACTGTCAGTCAGGAGCACAGATGCCACGTGACCAGAACTGACACCAGCCAGTTCTTCCCCTTGTTTCCCTACACTAACTAGCGGGGAGGCATCTAGCCAGGAGATGGCCACCAAGGGGTGAAAAGTCCACACTCATCCACCCATTTCCCTTTCCAGTCAGTGAACTCACTGTCCCCACCCTGCACACAGGGCCTGGTGTACTCACACTATACTCAGCAGACACTCCTCTGTCGGTCTCCCGGAGTGAGCTCCATGGGAACTGCCCAGTAACTTTATATAAGTTTACAGAGAAACTAGAAGGCAATGGGACAGAGCTTTAACAGCAGGTCTGTGCACAGGGCTTGCACAAAGATAACAACAGGCCCAATTAGACTACACCGGGCTCATCCTAAGGGCAGCAAGTGCGGCAGAGGCGGCTGGTGGCCAGGTGTCATAAGACACTCAAGCCATCTACTTTAACTTTTAAAACAGGCCACTGAGCTCAAGACTTGTTTGGTTTCCTACTTTCTCTCGAAGTTTCCAGGCTGTGGTTTGAAGAATGACAGGCCATAGGAAGTTTCTTTGGTTCCATATGAAAACTGAAAAGTCACTTTTTCTGCACGTCCTAGGAGATTGGGGAGTTTGAGGCCAAGTACCTAAGGGAGGAGAAAGGATGAAGCTGACACTGGACTGGTATAAACGAGGCACAAGCACACACAGCCTTTTTTCTTACGAAGTGCCCTTCACAAGCACAGACTGACACCATACTGACCACCTGGGAAACTGGAAGGCACAAGTCTCCCACATCAAACCCAAACCTCCTCCACTGAAGCATAAAGGAATTGAAACAAGACATCAATGTGTTCATCTGTCCTAGTACTAGGGTTAGTATCGCTACAAACAACCTCAACTTTATGCTGATTGGTTCTAGGAAGGTTAAAGGGAAATTGTAGATAACACCCAAGCCCAAAAACCAGCAACTCCCTGGGTATTTTTTTTGTTTTGTTTTGTTTTGTTTTGTTTTATTTGTTTTTTTCCAAAAGGCACATCTTCAAAAAGCTTACACTCAAAAGAACTCTAAACAATGGAAGTCATGTCCTACCATACTGCCTTCATTGTTTCCAACCATGGTGTTGTAACTGCCAGTAAGCCTCCTTAACTCTGTCACTTCAAAGGTGACATCTAATCCATTTGGCAGTGCATCATCACCTAAAGAAGCAAATATTTAAGTGGTCAGCATGGCTTGGTGGGTAAAGGCACTTGCCACCATCCCTGCCAACCTGGGTTTGATTCCAGGACCCATATGATGAAGGAAAAGAACACATTTCTGCAAGTTGTCACAAGTATGTGCACACTTACAAACCAAACACCCCTCTATACCTAATACTGGACCCTGCTCTCTGTTCTGGATACAGCCCCAGTTGGGAATGTGCCCACCCTAGGGAGGCCTTTGAAAATTTTGAATCCCAGCCAGGCTGTGGTGGCACACACCTTTAATCCCAGCACTTGGAGGCAGAGGCAAGGCCAGCCTCATCTACAGAGTGAGTTCCAGGACAGCCAGAGCTACACAGAGAAACAGAGAAACCCTGTCTAGGAAAAAAAAAAAAAAAAAAAAAAAAAAAGTCCCAACCAACTAACAACAAAGCATGGGATTCATATGATGGTAAGGATTTTAGTAACCTAAGAGAAACGAGCAACACAGTAGTCCAGTTAAATGTCCTCCATCCAGCAGGGTGTGAGCAGTGTCTGGGCTGGAGGTTTCTACCTCACAAACCACCGAGGCATGGGGTGCACTCTGCAGAGTGAGGTCAAACCTTGCAGGGCTGGGGTCTCAGAGGAGGAGGCAGCTCTTGCCTTCCACCCAGGGTACCTGCTGGGTGTTCTGCTAGACACCTGCACAGTCATCAGGAATGGAGATGTCCACATGGTCTCCACAGGCTGGGGAAGGAGGGCTGGGTAGAGCTTTAGCAGTGTTCTGGTTTTTACTTTTATTTATTTATGTTTTACTTTTGAGACAGGTTCTCTCAATGCAGTCCTAGTTGGCCTAGCACTTGCCAAGTAGACCAACCTGGCCTTAAACTCACAGAGATTCACCAGTTTCTGCCTTCTGAGTGCTGGGATTGAAGGTGTATGCCACCACACCAAATCCAAACCCTCTATTTCTTTCTCTCTCTCCGTGCCCCCCCTCCAGGTTTCACTTTTCAGAGTGTTTTTGGTGTAAGACAGAACAAAAGGCTGCACTCTCATCAACCCTTGCCATACTGACACATGCCCCACTATTAACAGCTCACTTCACCTCACATCCCCAAAGTTCACTTGTCACAACTGTCATGCCCACAATTCACAGCAGGGTCAGTGACATGTAGTGTGACGTGAATAATGACAGGTTGATAATGCCCTAAGCCAGCCTTTGCTGTCAGGTAATTCTATCATGCAGCCAGGGAAAACAGCTGAAGTCACAGCCAGAAAGGAGAGCTGACCAGTACAAGGCCATGTTCAACAGGGACTGGAGACAGTCGAAGCCTTATGCCAACAAATGGGCACTGAACTGACCTTGGAGAGGCAGGGGAGGCCTGCATGCTCAAACTCTACCATTCACACTATTGGGCCAGAGACAAGTTACCTAAAAGGCTCAAAACCTCCATTTCATAAATAAAATGTATCTGACCCTTACCAGTGTTCCCAGATGCTCCCAACTCCCATCTGACTAATCAGTGGGTCTTGAGCTTTATCACAAATTAGATCACTGGCCCTACCCACTCCTCTGCTGTGATGAAACTCAAAGGTGTATCTTTAGAGGCACCTAACTGATTCCAAGACCTGCCTGAGAAACCTTTGGGGGCACTCTGCATCCAACCACATGGCTGTTCTGTAACCCTGGAGGCTACATGGTAGCATCAGAAAGGTACTTTCCCATGGTACCTACCATGACATGTGTCGATCAAAACATCCACTTGCCTAAAAATTCCTAGGCGAAGCAGTTTTTCACGGGTTTCATGTGATTTCCGCATTACCTGGGACAGACAACAGAGAATGAGCTCTCCTAAGACACGGGAGCACTGAGAGCCATGTGACCTGTGAGCATATGCATTGAGAGGTGCATGCAGCAAGAAATGTCTGTGAAATTCCACGCGCAACAGTGTAGTGGGCAGGAGGACACTTAGGGCTCAGCAGAGAAGAACAAGCTTGGAGTGGCCTGAGTACTGAGCAGAAACTACAGCATGTGAGAGCAACACCCTGGGGATGGACACGGGGAAAAGCCGACAACGGAGCTGTAAGATTAACATGACTGAGATGGAAATCAGCCAGCAGTGTCAGTACCAGACACAGAAATCAGCCAGCAGAGTGAGTATCAGATAGAGAAATCAGCCAGCAGGATGAGTACTAAGGCACAGAAAGTAGCCAGGAGAGCAAGTATCAGACACAAAAGAGGCCAAGAATAAGAGGGAAAAACAGGAGAAACACTCAACACTGGCGACAAAGTGGCACAAAGAGCTGTGAATGAACAAAGGCTGAGAACCCATAGGAAAACAGGTGCTCCACAGTGAGAACCCAGGCATATGTCCCTAATCCCAGCACTCAGAGGCTAAGGCTGAAAGAGTTAAAGATGGAGGCAAGCCCAGGTCACATAGTGAGATGCTGTCTAAAGAAACAAAAAAGGAAAACAAAACAGAGAGATATGAATGGCAAAAATTAAAAAAAAAAGCATTTGAGGGCTGGTGTGATGGTTAAGTGAGTTATAGTGTTTGATACAAAACCCTAGTTTGATCCCAGGGGCATATATACAAATCAAAATAATGACACAGCACTGTGTCTACTGGATGGCAAGACCTAGAGTGTGGCTCTCAGGTCTAGGGAGTGAACCTTCCCTATCCACCTGCAGGGTATGGAATGATGACTCTCCTTGAAGACCAATATGCTGACCCTTGAAGTGCCCTTTGGCCTAGTAACCCTACTTGTACTGTGCCTGCTATGACACAACAGTAAGATGCCGAATGCACAGCTATGGTGAGAGCCAATCACTCAGTTTAGTTAATGTTCACCAAGAGAGACATACGATGATACAAAGTGTTTGCAGTGAGGCTTCCCAGACAGGTAGAAAAGACTGCCCTCACAATGACAAAAAAAGAATGCTAGTGCTCCCTGCCACCTGGGTTCTTCCTAGTGAAGGACACACTTGGAAGGGCATGGTGTAACCTGAGCTGGCCTCTGGGGGTTGTCAGGCAGTGGCAAGGCACAATCACCAATATGCTCTCCACCTGTAACAGTTTATAGCTCTCTATGTAACTGTCTTGAAACATCACTTTACATCTAAAAACACAAACTTTTAGTTGTTGTTTTACTGACACTCACTGTTCACGGTTAACAAAAGGAGGCAGAAAGGAGCCAGTCAACCTGGCCACAAGGACCTATTGATGACCTCCGTTAGGCATGTCAGTATTGTCCAGGAACAGGACAGAAGAAAGCCACAGACAACTTCCTACTACAGCACTGGAAAGAGTCTGTGCAACATAGCAAGGGCCTGGGTGATGTACAGTAGGTATCCCCAGAGGATCGCAAGGGCCCGAGTGGTATGCAGTGGGTATCCCTGAAGGATCCCTAGGGCCTGAGTGGTATGCAGTGGGTATCCCTGAAGGATCCCTAGTGCCTGAGTGATGTGCAGTGGGTATTCCTGGAGGACATAGCAAGGGCCTGGGTGATGTACAGTAGGTATCCCCAGAGGATCGCAAGGGCCCGAGTGGTATGCAGTGGGTATCCCTGAAGGATCCCTAGTGCCTGAGTGATGTACAGTGGGTATCCCTGAAGGATTCCTAGGGCCTGAAGTGATGTGCAGTAGGTATCCCAAGAGGATCCCAAGGGCCTTAGTTGTGTGCAGTGGGTATCCCCAGAGGATCCCAAGGGCCCGAGTGGTGTGCAGTGGGTATCCTTGGAGGATCCCTAGGGCCTGAGTGGTATGCAGTGGGTATCCCTGAAGGATCCCTAGGGCCTGAGTGATGTGCAGTGGGTATCCCCAGAGGACCCCAGGGCACTCAGCAGGACCCCAGAACAGCTCTGATGCTGAGAGACAGGAAGAGTACAGGGCAGATGGAGCAGATAGGACAGACTCATCCTTTCTCAGGATGAACAGAGGTATAACAGCGGAAGCTTGTGAGAGCTGTAGGAGGGGCTCTGCAGGCTTGGGTCCCTCTGCAGTGAGAGGCTAGGGGTAGTCTCAGACTCTTTAGGAGTTTCATGCAGAGTGCCACACAGAACTTACCTCAATGAGGTTTTTAGCCTTAAAAACATCTTCAATTTCACAAATGATGATGTCATCCTTAGTCCGTCCAAGTCCATCAAAATGAACATGCTGAACCACCACCTAAATGTAAAAAGGGGACTGAGGTCACCACCTCCAGCACAGGAGTGAAGCCAGTGTCTGAGACAAAGGGCAAGGTCTTTTCAAGTGTAATAACCTGGATTTCTTATTTTTGAAACAGGGATTCCCTGTATAGCTCTGTAGACCAGGCTGGTCGCAAACTCACTCCGATCAGCCTGCCTCTGCCTTGAGAGTGCTGGGATTAAAGGTGTGTGCCACCACTGCCCAGTTCTTTTTTTGATTTTATGTATACGGGTATTTGCTTTCATGTATGTCCATGCAACATCTAAGTGCCTGGAGAGGACAGAAGGCAGCATCAGATTGCCTGGAACTGAAGTTACAGATGGTAATAACCTGCCATGAGGGTGCTGGGAGTTGAACCCGAGTCTTCTGGAAGAGCAATGCTCTTAATCTCTAAGCCATCTCTCTAGTTCCCTGTGGTTTTTTTTTTTTTTTTGTTTGATTGATTTTGTTTTGAGCCCCTGTATTTTTTTATGCTCTTAATCTCTAAGCCATCTCTCTAGTTCCCTGTGGTTTTTTTTTTGTTTGTTTGATTTTGTTTTGAGCCCCTGTATAGCTCTGGTTGTCCAGGAACCTGCTCTGTAGACCAGGCTGGCCTGGAACTCACAGAGATCTTCCTGTCTCTGCCTCCCAGGTGCTGGGACCCCCACACCCACCGCCCCCCCCCCTGCCTCTGCCTCCCGAGTGCTGGGATTAAAGGCGTGCACCACCAACACCTGTCGAGCCCCTGTATTCTTATTTTAAGATCTAGCCTCTGCCAGGTCTGTACCGCCCATGAATGAGCTCTGGCATCTCTAGCCAAAGAACCCAAGATCATGTGGGTTGTGCGCACTGATAAGTAGAGAGGCCCAACCCTCTTAACATGGCCACACTCAGCCTCTGATGTAGGATGGAGATCCTTCAGCAATGTCACAAAGCAGGTAAAGAATGATCCTCGAGGGCTGGAGAATTAACTCAGTGGTTAAGAGCACTGGCTGAGCCGGGTGTTGGTGGAGCACGCCTTTAATCCCAGCACTCGGGAGGCAGAGGCAGTCATATTTCTGTGAGTCCGAGGCAAGCCTGGTCTCCAGAGCGAGTGCCAGGATAGGTTCCAAAGCTACACAGAGAAACCCTGTCTCGAAAAACCAACAACAACAACAACAAAAAGAGCACTGGCTGCTCTCTCAGAGGACCTGGGTTCAGTTCCCAGGATTCACTTGTCAGCTCACAACTCCCTGTAACTCCAAGATTTAACATCTTCACACAAATATACATGCAGGCAAAATGCCAATGTCCATACAATAAATAAAGTGGAGTTGGATGGTGGTGGCGCACCCCTTTAATCCCAGCACTCGGGAGGTAGAGGCAGATGCATCTATGAGAGTTCGAATCTAGCCTGGTTTACAGAGGGAGTTCCAGGACAGGCTCCAATGCTACACAAAAGAACCCTATCTCGAAAAACCAATAAATAAATAAACAAACACATTAATAAGAAAAAAAGAAGATTATTGACTCTTCTGGGAGAAAGGAACAGAAATATAAACTCAAGGATTGGGGCTGTCTGTGATAGAGGACCTATCTGGAATACAAGAGGTTGCCAGGTGTGGTGGCATATGCCTTTAATCCCAGGACTCAGGAGGCAGAAGCAGGTGGATCTCCATGAGTTAGAGGACAGCCTGGTCTACAGAGCAAGTTCTAGGACAGCCAGGGCTACACTGAGAAACCCTGTCTCAAAAACCAAAACAAAATAACAACAAACAAAACAAAATAAAAACCCCCAAATAAAAAGGATTCAAGAGGTTCTGGATTCCATCCCCAGTGCCACCAAAAATATAGACTTAAGCATAATTGGAATCTATCTTTGAAAAACTTTTAAAAATTTATTTTATTTTATGTTTGAGTATTTACCTCATGCACATATTTCTATTACATGTGTTCAATGCCTGTGAAGGCCAGAAGAGGCCATCAGATCTTCTAGACTCTAGAATCTACAGATGGTCTTGAGTCACCATATGGGTAACAGGAACCAAACCCAGGCCATCTGTAAGGGCGACCAGTTCTCTTACCCACTAAGCCATCTTTCCAACCATGAAAAATGAGTTTTGCTCTATTTTTGTTTCAGTAGAAATAAAATGTGTTTGCCTAAACCAGTCACACCAACTGTTCACCAGGAAAACCTGAGAAACAAGTCTCTCTACTTGCAAATGGGTGACACGAGAGCTCCTTTACTTCTCCATAGGGGCTTACCAAGAGAACATTCCAGAAACAACCATATCAAAATGTTCCATAGAATACTTACATCTTTGTTTTCCAGAATTTCCTGTTTCGCCTCAGGTTCAACTTCCACAAACTCAGCTTCTTCTCCCAAAGCTCCAAAGTCAGGTCCACTCGATGGAAGAGGCTCCAGACTCTGCAAGGGATGGATGAACCCAAGACAATTAAACAAATGAGAACAAGCCAAGCTTCCACCTTTTGGCTTCAGATGGTGCCACAAAATCCAGTAGAGTTGCTCCCTCGGGTGTGTGGGGATGGAGATGGGAGAGTAGAGAAAGGACAGGGAATACAAGGGAAGGGAGTATAAGCTAATGAGCAGGTCCAGGTTCCAGGGACAGTGTTTAATAACCGTGTTCACTGGGTTATTAGTAAGTAAAAGCAAAGATTTCAAAACAAAACAAAACCCTTGCTCATCAAAGGGCCAGAAAGGAGGCACTTTCTACAATCTTAGTTTTGTGGCACTGGGGACTGAACCTAGACCTTTGCACATGTTGGCCAAGTGCTCTACACCACCAAGCTATATTCCTGAACCTTCTGAACTTGTTTTTTTCTTTAGTTTTCTGAGACAGGGTCTCTCCTGAAATACACTGTGTAGTGAAGGTTTCCTTTGAAATTCCTCCTGAACCTGTCCCTGCTTCCAAGTGACAACATGAACTGTCATCACCTCAAAACACCACAAAACAAGCCATGGTGGCACATTGGCGATAATCCTGTAGTAGCTCTTGCCGGTGAACCTGTAACGCTGGCCACCCCCCCTTTGGGTGTGGCTTCAGGCCGACGGAAGCAGAAAGAGTGAAGCTTGAGGCATGGTCTAGCTTGCCCTGCCTCATTCTCTTGGGTCAGGTGATCTGATAGGAAGGGCACGGAAGTGCTCCTGTGGTTCTTTATTATTATCATTTGTGTAAGTGTTCCCCAATAAACACCCATTTATCATTTATCTTGGGTCTAGTGAAATCTTTACATCCTCACCTTCATAATCCCAACACCAGGAGGCTAAGACAGAAGGGATTCTATCACTAAACAAATAATCACAACAGTAACTTAAAAAAAAAAAAAAAAACAATTTTTAAAAAATACTTTATTTAACTTTATTTTATGTGCATTGGTATAAGGATACCAGATCCCCTGGAACTGTAGTTACAGACAGGTGTGAGCTGCCATGTGGGTGCTGGGAATAGAACCTGGGTCCTCTTTAAGAGCAGCCACTGCTCTTAACCACTGAACCATCTCTCCAGCCCCACAATAGTAACTTCTTAATACGCTTTCTGGAGGCAGGGGCTGGGTGAGCCTGGCTGGGAAGACTGGAAAAAATTACATATATATAACATATACATATTACAATTTTTTATCTGTGTGTGCATAACATGTAATCGGGTGCTTTTTAGTCACCACTCTGTTCTTGTAAGTGAACACCCTAAGTCACTGGGACACTTAATGGCAGAGAGAGCCAGGTATCCCTCAAGTAAACTCAGAGTGGCAATTCAGAGGATGTCAAGAACAGGCAGGCAGAATGTGGCTACTTCCTAACTCCATGCTTGTCTGCAGTCAAGACCCTCTACAGCGCACACAAGTGCTGGCAACTGTAAAGCAAGGAGACCCTGAGACTGTCATTTCCTTCTCCTGCAGTACTTAGAGGCCTTCTGCCACAGGCACCCTGTACACAGTCTCTGCATCAGGATAAGGAGCCCACCAGACTCCCATCTCCTCCCACACCTGCCCTAACGACTAGTCTCCAGACTCCCATCCAAAAAGTACCTTCATGTTGGTTCCCTGAATAGTCTAAAGATCCACCTTAAATGTCTTCCATCTTAGAGGGAGGTGAGGTACTAAGACAGGAACTCAGGCCTTGAATTTACTACAATTCTCCTGCCTCAGCCTCCCGAATGCTGAGTCACCATGTCAGGCTAAATACTGCCTCTGAGCCATTGTGTGTGTGTGTGTGTGTGTGTGTGTGTGTGTGTGTGTGTGTGTGTGT